TTTACTCAAGAATAAATTAAGTATATTATAATATAATTTACCATGCAAAACATGAATCATCATATGCAATCATTAATTTTTTGTAAAACCTTGATATTAAATGAGTAATCAGAAAATGATAGACAGTTCTAATTAATTTAATCATCTAATTAATTATACAATATATTCTTTAAAATGCTTCAGTGTAGATAAAAAATCGAAATTTGATGGGCCATCATAATCTTAACAATAATAATGGCAATTTTGCTGTTCTGATTTCTATTAACAATTATAATATAACATTATTTATAGTTAAAATATCTAAATAATTTCTCAATAGATTTCTTTAAATTTCCATATAATACCTATAAATTTACATTTGTGAATTATTTGACAATATGTTAATTAGAATATTCATATACATCTTTTTAGTCAAAAGATTTAATTTATATAAATATTTGATCCGATTTTACATTAACAAACAAGTTGTGCCAAATTTGAAATTTATGATGTAATTCAAATTCTTCAATTATAATAATATATTAACACTACAAACATTACATTTTTCTTTTTTCCAATTTCTTTAATAAAAAACTTCTTAAAGCTTAGGAATTGAGTACATTTTCTATATTAGTAAAATCTAAAGTAATAGATGGATAATTGTAGGAGTTAATATTATTTTATTAGTATTTGGAAATCTTTTATATTTATTCTTAATTAAAAAAATACTATATTCTGTATAAATTTAGGAAGATTTTTCAAATTTTAATTGATTTGGATTAAAAATTAAAAGGAATTAAATGTTAGTTTAAAAGATCCTTCTGATTAACATTGAAGAAAAAGCAGAATCTATCAAATAGAACTTAAAAAAAACATAAATTAAGGGGATGTAAGGGACTCATACAGATTTCGAATCAAGGAATGTTATGATCTTACAAATTTTGATCTTTTATATTGTTTTGACTAATTAAATAGAAAATAATTAAGAAGAGTCTTTGTGAAATCAGAAGAGTTGATCACGAATATACTATCTCAAATAGTCTAAGTTGAAATTTCAAAGTTCTTATTGTTTGTAAAGCACTGCTGGTCTAAAATTGATAATACTTACTTAATAGAATTTATGATTACATTATTTCATCTCTAATCCTTATTGTCATTTATATTGAGTGCATATATTATTTAAAGGAATTGATTAATATGGGCTTTAGTTATTATCATTCTATTCAACGATAAAGAAAATAAAACATAATAATTAGATTATAATTTATGTGAAAATCAGAATCAAATGATTAAATGTAAAAGTTAAACTAAATCATTAATTTTATAAAAATAATCTCTGAGTAAAAAAAAATATATTATCTAGTCAGTGATGTAGAATTAATCGTAATTAGATAATTATTTTCATAATTAATATAACTAATAATGTGGGTGCCTTCATTTATAAAAGCTTAGCATTATAAAAAAAATCTAATTAACAAAGTAGTCATTCGCATACTTAATTTTGATTTGAATTTATAGTATTTTATAATAATAATAATTAAATTAATCAATTTATGTTTGTAAAGACTTCTTTTACCCTAATTATTTTATTAACTACTAACTATATTTAGATAACTCATTAGAATTGCTCGAGCATAAATTAAAAAATTTAATAATCCATTATTAGAGGAAATTATTAAAATGTATTAAATTAAAATTGGGGAAATTTAATCTCATCAAAAAATATGAATTGGTTATGTGGAGGTAATGATGGAAATTGTTTAAGAAATGCAATTTTATATTAGGTAAAAATTGTGGTTACATATATTGCGATATAGGGTATTCCATATAATTAGATTTGATGCAAAAATATGAATTAAATACTTTAAAAATCTGGTTGTGGGATGGAGATTATAGATTTTCTACAATAAAAGTGTTTATAAAATTAGAAAATACTGAAACATTGATTTATGATAGTAATTTAGCATAAAGCATAGTAACAATTACATTTCCAGATTAAATAGTTGGATCCTTTAGAATATATAATACTGCAGGCAATACAAGAAATACAGGATTATATTTAATAAAAGTTGAAGCTTATTATAAATTTTAATGATTTATAAAATGATTTAATTATTATTAATAACACATATTTTATTAAGAAATACCCATTATAAATCACTATTTGTGGAATAATATAATTGCCAGATTATTATTAATACTAGACAATTATAACAAAAATTTATCATCATATCTTTTATAATAATATTAATATTATTTCTTTAGTTCTTTAATTTCCAAATATAAAAATACATTAGTATTATCAATCCAATTAATGTAATGCATCATATAAAATATTTGTATGAATAAATTTCAATTCATTCTTAAATCACTTGTAATAAATTTTTTTTGGAAACTAAAATAAAAGAATCTACTTCAATTAATATTAGAGCATACAAGACTTTGACTTCTGTAAAGTAATTATTAATTTTGCATAAGTTTCTTATAAATGTCTTAATTTTATTTTGAGAATAATTTAGTCATCAACTTTTTTATTTAATTTTGTTTTAATTATAAGATAAATATGTTTTAGGTAGTAAAGTAAGTAAATATGAGCTATTATAATCAGAACTAAGTAAAATCTTTCTAGTAATGTTAAATTTTGGTAAATATACTATTATAATAATATTAATTGAAGAATTATTTTTCTTATAATTTACTAATAATTGTATGTCTTTTAAGTTCTCTATTAGATACGAGTCAAATTAATTATGAGTTTACTTTACTTTATTAATTTTATAACAAGTACATAACTTTAATTTTGTTTAGCCTTTTAAAAATAGAGAAAAATTATCATAATAAATTGAAAATTCAAATGTGACATCCTAACCTCTATATATTTAATACTCGAATATGAGTTATAATTGTTTTGATTATCTCAAATACTATTAAATACATGTTTATAATCACATTAATAAATAATACATTTGTTTCCTGAATAATTTATTGTGAAATCAAAGAATCAAAATCAAGTATTTCAAATTCGTTTATTGTTGCGATTTAACTTTTAAGAACTTTATTAAAGAATAAATTTCAGATCTATACCTATAATTAATTTCTATTACACAATCTTCTGAACATGATATTTTAATTTTTATTTATTTATGATATTAATTCTCAGGATTATACCATATTTTTAATTAAATATCAATGATTAGTTTTCAAGAACCTATATATAAAGAACTAAAACAATAGCAGGGTTTGAGTAAGTTTGACATTACTTTTAGAAATTATTATATCAATTAGTTTTTTTGAGAATTTATTGGAGCAAAAAAAACTTTCTAGTTAATATCTAAGTTTATTGATTAATATAATTCATTCAATTTGTCAAATTTATATTGAGGAATGACTAAAAATATTGTTTTTTTAATTAGTTTTTATTTGTATAGTTAAGAAAAGAAAATATTCAAATAAGCAAATCACTTTGCTTTGCTTCTTGCTTCGATAAGTTATTCAGATAAAATATACTAATTAAAACAATATGTTAAGCATTTATAACTGATATTGAGTTACGATATACTTGAGATCAAATAAGCACATGATTGAAACCTCAGGGTCTGGTCCATGAGGGTTGAAATAATGAATATGAGAAAAATTAGTTTGTTGGATAATTACAGATAAAAACTGCATGAAAATTGGTTGAGATAGTGTTTTCATATAAAGATGATAAATGGCCTAGGTATACCAATTCTTACAAGCCGATTAAGTCTTCCCCTTATATATATTATAAGCATACCAAAAATTTATTGTTACATCCAATCCTTGCGACAGACTAATCAATGGATCTATAATAATGATAATAATTTTTTTGATTATAAATTCTTGATGATATAGTAATTTGGATAATCTAAATAAACCCTTCCTCAAATAACTTAAATCTTAATATTAGTGCAGGAAATTATCTCCTAAAGGGTGAATCAATTTATTTATAATATTAATCAAGGCGATTCATTACTAAATTAAAATAATTATGAGGAAGCCATTTAGTGCTTTGATAATGCTATAAAAATCAATCCTAACAATTGTTTAGCATTCAATAACAAAGGTATATGATTTGATTATTTTATTTTAGGCAATGCATTATATTAATTGAATCGTTTTGAAGAAGCTATTAAGTGCCACGATTAAGCTTTAACTATCAATCCTAATAATTGTTTAGCATTCAATAACAAAGGTATTTGAATTTTTTATTTTTTTTATTTTAGGCAATGCATTATATAAATTGAATCGTTTTGAGGAAGCGATTAAGTGCGATGATAATGCTTTAAAAATCAATCCCCAAGATAAGGAGGCACAAACAAAAAGGCTTAGTGCTTTAGGTATACTAAAGAAACAATAATGAAAATATAGAAATATATTCAATTATAAAATGCTGGATAAAGTTTATATTATATATATATATTCATTCATCAATTTTACAATGAACTCTTCTTATCACATTTAAAAATTCTAAATGAGATATCAAAGTATTAAGATTACAATAAAGCATCGAACCATAAGATAAAAATATTAAATTAATCGACAATATACACCTTTAAAGATAAAATGATAAGAAATATAATAATTTTTTTCATTACATGTTAAGATAATGACTTTTTACATCTTTGGAATGGCTTTTTAATATGAAATTAATGAAATTATATACAACTATAATCAAAGGGTTGTTTTTTAAAATATTTATTCATTAATATTAATTGAATTCAAATATTTACACTTTCACTTTGTATCAGACTTAGAAATGTATTTTTTATAAAATTATATTTAAACTGCATTATTAAAATTTGATCTTGTAATTATAAATCTACTCTGTCAATTGAAATCATAAAAATTGATATTGTTATATTTATGAGTAATTTTTAATTACAAATATTTTAATACATAAATCTAAATATAATTTAAAATATATTATTTAAAGCAATTTAAAATGTTGGATACATTTGTGAAATTTTAATTTATCTGTTTATACAGGCATGTTTGAAAGAAAATTACATATATAATAAGGATTTAT